CCCACCCCAGGAGTTACCATCTTCTGTACACAACTGGAGTTTCTTCTTGGAATGCCACCCCACCCTCAACTCCACCTCAAGCATCTATCTACTCTCCGGCTCAGCCAGCTCCTACCTCTAACCATGCTCCACTCTTGCCATGCCTCACCTGTGCTGCACAACTGCTCATCCTCTACGGAAGACTTCAGGCTTTTTGTGAGTTCCTGTCCATCCAGAGGAGCCAGTGGGAGGGAGAAAAGGATCAATATAGTTGTAGAACTTCAAACAGAAAGGAACTCATCCAATCCAATCCTTTTCCCTCCCTTCTCTCCAATCTTCAGGCAGGGACTGAGGAATGGAGTGAGCCCCAGGGAAGGGCACCCACAGAAAGGGGTTCTCCCCACTCTCCCTTCCACCACGGTCCCTGACCTTTAATCTTTACCACTTCAGGGGATTCCCAGCAGGGTCTAAGGGCTTGGATCCCATTTGAGCTTTTCTAGCCAGCTTGCTCATGGGGAGATAGAGCGTTTGGTTGGGGGTACCCTCTTTGAGGTATCTGTGTGAGAAATTGCACGGGCAGCCTTGTCTCCTTTGTTCCCTCCCTCATTCCTTCACAAACCCTCCTTTGCCCCTGGTCCTCAGCTCAGCTCAGAGATGTGACCAGACGAAAACAGAGGAGTCTCCTCTCCCCCAAGGTCCTCTCTGGGATGCGTAGGCTGACTACCCCACCCCTTCCTCCTCCTTCTCTCTGCTAGAAGGTGTGGGAAATAGGGAAGGCAGAGCACACCTAGGGGGATCTCTCATTTTCCGCAGCATCTTCTGGGCCTCCCATTCCTGTTGCTGATTGTACAGGGTCTGCCAGTGTGAGTAGACCTCAGGCTTCTCCAAGTAGCAGTAAGGTTCAGAGTCTGGCTTGCTTGGGTGCTGCCTCCAGCACTCTGAGCTTAGGGGAAACTCTTCCTCTGGCATCTCGGGGTTGTGAGTGACAGTGCAGTCACTGGAGATATTCCTCAGCCAGGAAAAGGGCCAGGGTGAGAAGGGACTATGTGAGAGAGACACCCTCCAGTACATCTGAGCTGGCATCCCGGCTGCCTCTAACCCACAGCATGACCTGGGTGAGGTACTTCACCCCACCAAGATCTCAGTCTTCTCAGCTGCAGAATAGGGCTAATAATCCTTGCTCTGGACCCTTCCATGGTTGTTGTGAAGAACAAATGAGATAAAGATTGTGAAGCCACTGTTGATCTGTAAATTGATCTGACTACACAGTTTGGTTATTTGGGGATCTCCAAAGCACTTTGAAAAGATCATCTAGGCAAGGAGGTGAGAAGGCAGGGATGAGGGGGATGTGGAGTTAAGGAAGGAAAAGACAGACTAGTGCTCCTTCACTCAGGCCATCGACTCGTGCCAAGCACTGTGTTAGGTGCTGGGATGCAATTATCACCCCTGCTCTTGTGGAACTTATTAGTTCAGTTGGAAAAACAGGATTTCTTCAAATAATCTGTCTCTTAATTGGGAAACTGCAGGTCTCGAGTGGAGGGGTTGGGTGGGCTAGGGGCTTTCTTTGAATATTAGGCTGGGATTCATTCCTGTCTCTTCTCAGGCTTCTTGTCTTTACAACAGGTTTCTGAACAACAAGGAAGAGAGGCTTCAGCCAGTGTTTCCCAATTTGGGGACTAAGACAATCCTGGTAAGAGTTCTCAAGTGATTGTCATGATTTCAGAAAATGGAGCATTGATTCACAATGAGTAGGAATGTCAGAGTAAGTAAAAACCAAGCAAAGAAAAGATAGGACGTCCAATGAAATTTGGATTTCAGGTAATGAATGCAGTATCTGGGACATATTTATAGTAAAAAATTACTCACTGCTTATCTGAAATTCAAATTTATTTGAGCACCCTGTATTTTATGAGTCAACTCTAATTTGAAGGTCCCTGTGTTAATCAATGAAACTCATTATAAGCACTGCCTGCATAGCTCCGGCCTTATAGATATTATCTGTGAAACTGCAGCTTAATTGTGCCTCAGTGCTACAAAGGTTGCTGGGCAGGGGTTGATCTGTGACAGAGGAAGCTCTTGAAGCTTAGGGAAGGAAAGTGACTTGTCCAAGGTCACACAGAGTTAGTGGTGGCACCAGGGATGAGGGTCAAGGTTCTGTGAACTGGTCTTAACGGGAAAGGATAGTCTTTTGCTCTCCCACTTGAGCAAAGTTCCCAGGGTGGCAAAAGTTAGGAGTCTCACCTGGTAGCAGGAAACAACAGGTGAACAGGAGCTGTGGCTTTTCTGAGTTCTGTGGTACGAATGAGATGGCAGTTACGACAGTAGTTTAAGAACCATCCATTTAGGAGTTCACCATTTGGGCATTTAGTGAGCACTAGTACCAGGCGCTAGGGAGATAAATAAGGCTTAATGCCTGCCTTAATGGGGCTCACAGTTTTCCGGTACTTTGCTGCTCAAAATGTGGTCAGTGGAATGGTAGGGCTGCCGTAACCTGGGAGCTTCTCAGAAATGTAGAATCTCAGGGTCCTCCCCAGACCTACAGAATTAGGATTTTCTTTTTAACAAGATCCCTGTGCATGTTGGAGTTTGAGACACACTGTGTCTAGCAGAGTGGTTCTCAACCTTGGCTGCATATTAGAATTATTTAGGGGTAGGCCTTGGCCCTACATTAGAACAACTTAATCAGATTCTCTGGGGATGGGGCCTAGGCATTTCAGAAAGCTCCCCAGAGGATTCTAATGTGTAACTGATGGTAAAAACTACTGGTCTTGTCCCGTGGTCCTCAGACTTGAGTGCATGTGAATGACCTGCAGAGCTTGTTAAAACATGGGTTTCTGGCACTCATCCGGAGTATTGCTTTAGTAGATCTGGAGTGGGTTCTGAGAATGTACATTACTAAACAAGATACTGCTGCTGCTGGTCCTGGGACCACACTGTGAGAACCACTGGTCTAGCTCATGAGACTGTACTGTTTATTAGTGATTCACGAGGGGAAACAAACATAAAGATAGATATAGGCACAGATGGTACAGATGAGGGTCCTAACCTGGCTGGGAGGATCAGGGAAGGTTTCTTAGAGATTATAATCAAACTGAGTCTTCAATCCAAGTAGGGGTTAGTCAGGGAGATAAGGGGGAAGAGCATAAGGCATGGGGAACAACTTTTGCAAAGACTTGGAGATGTGAGACTTGGGTAGAGAGCAGGGTGCAGATGTAGGGCAGAAACTGGGAGAAACAGAGCTGTCCCATCTTAGAGGGCCCTGGAGACTTAGCTTGAGGGCTGTAGGGAGATATTCATGTGACCAAGGGCCTGCCCTGACCCTTTGCATGTATTTGCTGAACATACCAGACCCCAACTGGGAGTGGGAGCCAGGAAGCTTTTCTTTTCAGGCCCCTGCCCCTGACTCCATTCCTGTGCATTATAGCCTCACCTTTAGTCCTTCTTGGATATTCCAGCCATAGGTACCTGAACAATGACCTGGAGATGTCAAAGATCTCAGCTGCTTTTTCATAGGCCATCCTCTTCTCCTGGTGGGGCTGTAGGGAACCTGGGTGGAGGACCAGGAGGGTGGAATATAGGACTTTTGAGGGAGTGGGGCACAGCTGGGGAGACCTGTTCTCTGTGGCACAAGAGGGCCAGTGAGGAGTCTGTGCTTGTGCAGGTAGAAGGTTCCAAGTGCTGAACAACCAGATCTCCTAGGCAAGTAGAACATTCCAATTCCACTCTTGAGTCCCAGGCCTGGCATCTGCTGGCCTGGTGCCTTGAGCTAGCCACTTTACCTCTGGGAGCTTCAGTTTCCTCATTTAAAAAGTGGGAAAGTCATACTTGCAAGGCCAACTAGAGGGACTGTGGTGAGGGATAAGTTCAAAAAGAAAGTCAAAGCCATTGGTGACTGTCTGGCTCACACGAGCCCAGTTAGGGGCAGGGTTGTTCTTAGGATTAGTCATCAGGAGAATGGAGGGATGGGAAGCTCCTTTTATACACCACTTCCCTCCTCAGCAGCAAGAGACTGAACTCTTATCTGTGTTAAGGAGCTGCTTTCATACCTCCTACTTTTGCATATGCTGTTCCCTCTACTTGACAGGCCTTTCCTTTCCTACCTGTTAAACTGTTTCTCAATTTTTTTTGGACTCCATTGAAATGTTATCTCATCTCTGAAGTCTCTTTTCTTGCCCAGGCACCCCGCCTCATCTCTTTCAGTAGTATAATCCCCTACCTTTCAATGTGACCACAGCCTTTTGTATAGTGTCTTCCCTTTAGGTGTTTATGATTATGTTTAATCTGTTCATTGGGTCCATTCTCCTCACTTGCCTGTGATCTGCCAAAAGGTAAAGCCTGTAGCTTGTGGTTCATTCATCTCTATTCTGCCCCTGCCCCCTGCCAATGCCTAGAATAGTGCCTGGCACACAGTGGGCAGCTTACGGTAGATAGAAAACATGGGCCATCAAACCATCAGACTTAACATCACCCCCAGTGAACTGACATCATGTACTGTGATGACTGCACTAAGAAAGACAGTGCCACCCATGTGGGGATTCCTGCTGAAAATGTTTAAGAATCTAATTATGAGGAAACAATCAGGCAAATCCAAATTAGAAAACATTCTACAAAAATTTGATCTGAACTCCTAAAGAATATCAATGTACTTGAAGACAAAGTGTTACAGGACACGAAAAAGACCTGACATCTAAATTCAGTATATGTCCTTAACTGTTCCAAGCTCATGAGGAAGGAAAGTTCTCAAGGAGGAAATCAAACCAGGAGCCAGCTTTGCATTTGTGCTGAGAATTTTAATGGAAAGCTGATTTCTCATATTTGCCTGTCACCCTTTCCCAGCAAGGGGCTGAGATGGAAGCTGGCCACAGGGCATTATCCTAGAGGTCCAGTCTTCATCCAGTGTTCACCTCCAGAGGCACAGTGACTTCCTTCTTAACGGCAGAGCTGTGGCCAAGCTGAGGGGCCTGAAGCTCAGAGACTTGAGATTTTCTAAGCACAGGGCAGAGCCTCAGGGGCTCTCCTAGGCTTTAGATGGGGGGAGGCTTTTATAACTGCTGTTGTTGTGTGGTGGAATCTGTGCCCTCTGAGGAGGGGCTGCGGGGAAGCCTCTCAAGCTGGTTAGGACAAGAGCAAGCAGCAGTAGGAAAGCTCGTGAAAGTTCAGGTTCAAGGCGCCCTCCATCCTAGCTCATCTCCAAAATGTTGATGTATTCCTGCACCCATTTCTTCTGTGGGTCGGCACACACCTGGCGCTTCTTTCGGGTAACAAAGCTGTGGAAAAGGAGAAGAAGAGGGTGAGACCTGCTCAGTGCCGGGACAGTCAGTCTGGGGGATGAAGTGGTTGACGCATAAGGGGAAATGGTGATGGTAGTGGGATGGGAGATTTTTGAAACTCTGTACAATTGTATTTGTGGCTTTTAAGGAAAGGACATTTCCTCATCTGTTGGGTCAAAGGGCCCCAAGCCAACAGCAGGTTTGCATTTTAATCCACACACAAACACATGCACCTGGAGAGCTAAGGGGACATGGAGCCTGAGAAGTCCTGGGTTGAACTGGTCAACCGCTGGCTTTTCTCAGCACTTCCTGTTTCAGACCCTGAGCTGGGTGTTCAACATGCAGAGAAAAAGAGGTGTCCTCCAGGAACTGAGTGAGAGATAAGAGGTGGTAAGACAAGCAAACATGATTTGGCTTCTGATAATACAGTGCCTGGCATAGGGTGGACACTCAACAATACCTTTATGCATGCATGAGTGAATGAAAGAAGGACGTGAGCTTGAATCTTGTTTTTACCACTTCTTAGCTGGATCAACTCGGGCAAATTGCCAAGCTATCCGAATCTATTTGCTTACTTCTAAAATGTGAATAGAAATAATTTCTACTTTGCACAATTGTCCTGAAGCTCAAAGGAGATAGTATGTGTGAAGGAGTTTTGAACCAAGCCACACATGCGTTGTGACTGGAATCCACGGGGCCTCTGCTTTAGGGTGGGTCAGAACAACAGGACACCAAGGGCCTGGAGCTGCATGCTGTGCTCAGAGAGGTTGAGGGCCCTGAGATATGGGTGTAGTCAAAGCACTTCTACCAATTAACTGGCCAGAACGTGGGGGCCTCTGAGAGCAAAAGGCCTTATGTCTACAAGTATTGATGATATAGGTTGGTGTGTAAAGGCCTGGGGGTCAAAGGTGCAGTCCGGATGCCTGCCTCCCCTGTTTGATGGGAGACTCGGTCTATCCGGTGGGGACCTAGGACCTGGATAGCAATACTGCCAATGCACACGGTACTTTGGGGCAGCCTTGCCTACTCGGACCTTTCTCATTTTGGCTTCCCTTTCAGATGTTTTCCTAGATCTTTTCTAGCCCAGATGTTTTCAAAGTGAAGGTTTAGGTTGTCTGGTGAGAATGAGGGTTTCTTGGTTCCTTTCCTGGCTCTATCCTGGATAGCGTTTGCCCTCAGGGAAGCGGCTTCCCTTTTTCTGAGCCACTTTCAGAGCCACCTGACCATCTTTCTCCTACCCTAGTGTGCAGAGAGAAAAGAAAGGGGGCAGAAGTACTCTGGGCTCTTGTGCCTCCTAGCGTCTGTTTTCTTATTTCATATTTAGGGTGATGAGGGAGATTCAGAGCCAGACCCTGCCCCTGTTCAGCCAGGAGTCAGACAGGAAATCTTGCAGACTCACTATTCTCGCTCCTCAGCCCCCTTGGCCTGCGGCCAGGAAGTCAAAAGGCCAGGAAACCAACATCTGGGGTGAGGATTGCTCAGGCCTCCATTTCCTCCTTCTGCAGAATGTTGAGACTGAAGAACAGCCCCTCTTTGCCAAGCTTCTCTCCTTGCCTCCGTTTTGGGGACCCTCTACGTGCCTGACTTCCCTCCCAACTCTCTTCCTCTTGGTCTCCTTGGGAGCTAACCACCTTCACCTGCCGCTTGAGAGCACTTGCTCTCAGAATTGTGGCCCTTTACTCTTCTATGTCCCCCAAGTCTCTGGTGCACAGTGGGTACTTAACAGATATTTGTTAAATGAGTTAGTGAATGAATGAATTGTAATGAATTGCATTCACTCATCGAGTTTCACTTTTCACTTCTATGACTATAATTATACTTTTAGAGGAGGAGGAGAAATGAACACTTATCAGGCACCTACTGTATGCCAGGAAATACTTTACTTTTATTTTTCATTTTATTCTCACTTTAACCCAAGGAGGGAAGTACTTCTATGTCCCTCCACTTTGCAGATGAAGGAATTGAGGCTCAGAGAGGTTACGTGGCAGGCCCAAGCCCCTGCAGCTATGAGCTGGCGAGCTGGGATTCTAATGAAGGCAGACCAGCAATGGAGCCAGTGCCCACCAAAACTGCTCTCCATTGCCACTCCTGGGAGACCCTTTCCTCCTATTAAAGAATGTCGTATCTCTAGCCCCAGCACCATTTCCTCAGCCACCAGCCCTCCATCTCCCACTCTGCTGGACATTTCCACGGGTTTGTCATGCTGGCACCTTGGCTCTTTCCCCCTTAAACAGCTTTTCCTTGAGACTTTGAGGGCTTCACACTTCTCCAGCTGGCAGGCTGGAAACCTCAGCGCTCCCCTCAACCCCCCTCCTCTCCCTTCCTTACTCCCGACCTCGCACCTGCCAGGGCTTGCTGATTCCACCTCTGAAGGTTTCTCTCCGCTGCATCCCCTTCCCTTCAGGTCCTGTTCGGCCTCAGTACTGCTCACGTGGATAACGATAACAGCCTCTTAACTGGACCCTATGTTTTAGGCCTTTCCCTCTTCCACAAGTTACATTTGCTCTGATGCTCTTGTTTCATTGTGCTGATGCTCAAGGACTTCAGTGCTTTCCTGCACAGAGACTCTGTATAAACCCAAGGAGAGTCCTGGCGACATTCCCACTGCCTAACAGGCCCAGCCCCTCAGGCTCTTCTCTGCCAGCCCAGGCCACCTCAAACAGCACCTCTGGCAGCAAACTTCCCCAAGTCCTTTGTCTGAACCCCTGTAGCTGGGTGTGTTCCCTCTCTCCTTTTGGAAAGTTCTTGTGCAAGGTAATCTAGTCATTGAGGCACCTGTCTTCTCTTCTTATTAGACTGTGAGTCCCCTGAGGGAAGGGTTGGTGGTTTATTAATCTCTACCTGCCCAAAATAGGTGCTCAGAGAAGGATTTTTTTTTGCCTCTGGAAAAGTATTTGTTTTCAGGAATAAAATTAGTAGTGCTAAATATAACCACTATACTTTAAAAGGATTCACTAGAACCAAAGGCTAACTCTGTGTACCTATAACCTTGCCAGTGTCACAGGAAATTTTGGATTAAAAATTTTGACATTATACAGGAAACTTCAGGATTGCCCCATTTTCATTCTGTAAGTTTTGTCTTAAATTTCTTAAGCAACTGTCACTATTGATCTTGCTGTAGTAGAAAGAGCAGGCTCCAGAGACAGGCTCCATCCCTCACTGAGCAACCTTGGGCAAGTCACCTAACCTCTCTGGGTCTCAGTTACATTATCTGAAAGAATTATGCATACCTGTCAGGACTATTATGAAATTTAGAGATAATGCATGTAACACATTTGACACACAGTAGTCACTTCGTAGGTAGTAGATATTATTACGTTTTATTCCAAATGTGTTTATTTGCATATTTAAAGGAGAATCTCATTTCATTATTTCTTCACCAATTGATAAAATTGTTTTTTTTTATACCCTTGACTGCAACTAGGGCCTTGACCTCTGACCTCCCCTTCCTAGTTCCTCTGAGGTTGTTGTGGATTTGACTGGGTGTGGGATATGGAGAATGTGGGGTTCTTAACTGGAAATGGAGGACTCAGTCCATCTCCTCCTTGGAGGGACATTGCAGACCATGTTCAAGTAAAAGTCACATCCGTAAAGATCAGAGACCTAACCTAGTCCATCAGAGTGGGGAGGATCCTCCAAGCATACCTTGTCTAACCCTTTCACAGATGGCTGGGGAACTGAAGCCGGAGAGAGAGGAGCCATGGCTGTTTGAGCAGCTAGAGTGGGGGGGAGTAGATGGGGCACCCTCCCAGAGGGCTCTTAGAGGGGACTGGCTCTGGGGCAAAAGGCATCCCTCCCTCACACCCCCCTCCTGGAATGTCCACAGGGCTGAGACTCACACGACTGCTGGCACGGAGCATTTGCTGCTGGTGTAGAAATATTCCTGCAGGTGGGCGCGGGGCAGTGGGCGGGAGATGTAGGCAAAGCAGCAGGGTGTGGTGTCCGAGGCATCTGAGGGAAGGAAGGAAGGAAGGAGACCCCTGTATTCATTGCCAGTGCACACTGAATATTGTGCTGGGTACTTTATATGATTTATGTTGAATAGGCTATTATCCTCTGGCTGAAACTGAGGCTCAGAGAGGTATAGTCACTTGGCCACGGACACACAGGTCAGAGTGGAGATTCCAACAGAGGACTGAGAGGATCTCTCCAGTCCCTCATCTAATCCTCAAGCCTAGACTGCACCCTTCCCTCTACACTGCACCCCCATGCCTTGGCTCTCACGACATGCTTGGCTTCCTTGTGGCTTGCTTGGGCCCTCTGCCCTTATTCTTGCCCTCCTAGGATCCTCAATGGATTCAGAACTAGGTTTCTATGAGACCTAGGGTGGGTTGAGGGGAGGCTTCCAAACTCAGACTTCATGGTTCAGCCGAACATGTATATTGCATCCTAGGAGCCTCTGGCTGAGACTTAGCGAGAAGGGCTCTGAACATAGAAGGAGGACTTTTGTTGGTCGGTTAATTCAGGATGACCCTGGGTGGTGTCGGTTGCCATTTCCCAGCAGAGTAGTAGTGTTTAGGAGCTAGATAGAACTGTTTTGAACACCACTTCCCCACTTTCTAGCTGTGTGACTTTGGGCAAGTTACCCAACCCCTCTGGGCTTCTGTTTCCTCACCTGTAAGTCAAGGATAACAACTCTACTTGCAGATAGTTATATTGAGTAAGATGGTATATGTAAAGCAATTAGTATAATACTTGATCCATAGTAGGCAATATTATCCTCTCTCAAGCCCCATTTTTTCTGTCTATGAAATGGGGGAGAAGGTGAGTATCCCAGGAGGGTTTAAGTGCTTACAAATGTCTTGGAAACCCTCCTGGGGAGGTGTGAGTCAGTTGTGTGGACAGGTCAATCTGAGCCACCTCTGCCTGCTAATATCCTCAGCATCAGTCCACACTCAGCACCTTCAGCGCCTGGGGCTGAGACCTTGAAGGCACAAAAAGTTGATCAGAGGGACCCTGTCCTGCAGTGGTTTAGAGATCTATCAGGTACAACTGGACATCGGGCAAAGCAACGCCTAAGAACGTAAAACCGTAGGGTCTGCCTGCGGGGACTGTGGCGGTCGGGACTTGGACTTACACGGGGAGGCAGATGCAGGGGCGCAGAAGGCGGCAGCGGCGACGGCGACCACAAAGGCAGCTGTGAAGACCTTCATGTCACCTGAGGGTGGACGCTGTGGGAGATCTGCTTGCTGTCCCGCGTCCTCTGCAGGGATTCTCTGCAGCTCAGGCAGGCTCTTTATAGGGAGGCAGGCAGCAGAGGAGGTGTCCCCCGCCCCCTATAGGGGAGTTTCCGAAACAGCAGCTGTGCATTGGCTGATATCATCAGTGAAATTGCACAAAAAGGAAAAGAAAACTTAAATAGCCTCCGGAAATTTGAGTGTGTCTTTCCTCTCCACCGTGCCCTCCCACCCAGAGTGAGCTCATGGGCTCTCCCCGTGCCTCAAGAGAACGAGCCCAAGCACCAGTGGGGGGACGCCTCTGCTGGCGTCCTTAGCTTTGCCCTCCAGGGTGGGGGTCCTCCCTGGGGGCAGGAGGAGGGGTAGTTAGGACAGGATTAGAAACAACTGGGTTTATTTGGTTGCGTTCAGAGCTCTTGCTCCTGCATCACAGCTCTGTATCTTCCCTGTCTCATCTAGGGAAGGATGTTATTTATAAGATGTTTTATTGAGAAGGGGAGGGTCCTCTGACATACAGTCCCCACAGGAGGGGAGAGCACCTACCCTGTGCCTGGACCAGTGGATCTGGACATTTCACCAGATATGAGCTGGAGTGACTCCTTGGCGTGGCAGACCTTTCATAGGGTCACCCACCTGCTTGTACTTGCTGAGTGATCACTGGGAAAATTGCTAATGTCTTTGAGCTTCTTTTTCTGTTTATTTATATATGGTTGATGGTTGTTGAGAAGCAGAGAGACATCTTTTATGCCACACACTACTCTCATTGGCAGCCGTTTACTGAAGGTCTACTCTGTGCCAGCCACCATTCTAAGGGCTTTACATGTATCAACTCATTTACTATTATTAGGCCCATTTTCCTAGTTTACAGATGAGGAAACTCAGTAAAAACTGGGATCCCATCTTGTTCTCAGGTCTCCTTGGGCACTAAAGTTACAGAATATGAGGGCTGCAGAGGACTTTCACAATCATTTTTTCCATATTCTTCACTTGTGGAGGAAACTGAGGCCAACAGGGTGGAAGTGGAAATTGAGCATCATTTGCAAGCAACACACAGCAAATGAATGACGAGATCAGAACCCAGGTGTCCTGGCTCCCGCTTCAGTGCTCTGTTCACTAAGTACTGCTCACCATGAAAAGGATCATGGAAGGGGACAGCCTTGTACTGAATCCGTGTGGTGGTCTTGATTAGAGCTAGGGTTCTTCCTTCCTTCCAAAGCATTGGATACATAAATCATTATCAATTCCTATTTGGATAATTCAGAATTAGTGACAATTTGGCTGGGGGCTGGGCTGATGTGGACTTCTGAATTATCTAACAAAAAAGTGTCCACTAACAGTGATAAAAGCAAACAAACAAAGAATTTAACTTAAAGTTGCCTCACTAGGTCATGTCCCATATGCAACTTGGTGGCTGAGGGTGACTGAATCACCCAAGGAGGGGGAAGACCTTATCTCCTTTCTTCCTCACAATGACTTTGAGGCAGGCCGGTCATTCTCGTTTTACAGAAGTGGAAATTGAGTGTCACTAAGGTCCTCAAGGTCACACAGCTGGCAGGTGGGATTTGAACCGAGGTGTTTCTGATGACCAGGCCCAAGCTCTTTCCGCTGACCACATCAGTCAGGCATTGAACAGTTACTGCATCCTTTCTAGGTGCTGTTCGAAGTGCTCCGTCCTCACGACTGTTAGCCAGTTACGGGTAGAAACACAGTTTTGGAAAGCATGGCCATCTCACGTAAAGAATCACACTGCAAGTGCTCTCACAACATTAATCCTTCCACCCAAATCGTCTGCCTGCCTGAACTGTTCCCTTCACACAGCCCTCTTAGTTACCAAATGTGCGAGGCTGTGTAGCCTGCTGGTTAGCTCAAGGGTTTGGGTGGTTTTCCTGTTTGCTAGACAGACAGTCCCGGGCAAGTTAATCTCTCTGGTCTCATTTCCCTCATATCTGTAAATAATAATGGCCTCTCCCACAGTGCTTGAGACAATTAAGTCCCCGTAAATGTACTCATGCTTATAAAGCTCTTAGTGCAATACCTGACACTTATTAATTATTATTATCCTGTTATTAAGAGTAAGAAAATGGCAGTCCCTTTAAGGATATTCTATATCCTTATTATTAGTTTGGCTTTTCAATGATCTAGACCAGACCCCCAATTAATATGGATTAGTGATCTTTATTACAAAAAGTCTTTATTTTCAGCGAGATGGGTCAGTTGAGGCTTAGCAAGGTTAAGTGACTTGCTTAAGGTCACATAGCCTAAAATGGTAGACCTCGATGTTGACCCCAAGTCTGTCTGGGTTCATAGCTTTTCTGCCATACTGCTCTGTTTCTATAGAAATCCTAAAACTTTTGCTGAAGTTCAGTTTTTCCAGGTGAACTCTATTTCTGTTTCTTTCTTTTTTTAAATTTATCTCAATTTCCCTCTTTAAGGAGGAAAGGGAAGTATTTTCCTGGTCACCAAATATGCTGGGCTGGGACACTAGCTGAGGACAGAGGTGAGGGAACCCAGAGATGGACCAGTGTGACACTCATCTTTAAATCCCGGTGCTGTGTGTATGTCTGGGTGTAGTGGTAGTGGGAATGGGAGAATGTGGGATGGTGGGATTTCTGAGCAGGAATAGGCAGGGGCTAAGTTAGGAGTATTTTTTTCCCTTATGGTGGTTCCAGTGGAGTGTGGGGAGTAAACAAGGGAGAAGAACCTAATTGTAACTGCATTTCTGCTACTCACTACTTTGCAAAATTGGGTTTGGACTCACGGAATCAGTGCATCCTTTGGGTGTAATGTCCCGATTCCATGAGGAAATCAAAGAGCCTATATAAAGTAAACAGTATGGAGCTAATACAGGATGTGTGTTCAATGAATGGCAACTATCATTATGATTCACCCAGAATTTTATGTTCCTGAAAACTAGGAGCACCTGTCTGTGTGACCTGCTGCACAGGTGGCTGCGAGGATCAAGGGGAACAATGACTGTGGATGTGCCTCGGAGGCTGAAGGTGAGATACATATGTCATGACGCCATCTCTACCCTCCCTGGCCCACCAGTGTGCTTCGTCTACACTGCTCAGTCATTCCTTACTCCTGAAAATTGTTGCTGAGAAGTGCCGTGAGCCAGGCACCAGTCTAGGCGTGGACACCACGGTGAGCAAGTCAAAGACCTGCCCTATGGGACTTGTGTGTGTGTGCGTGTGTGTGTGTATGTGTGGGGTTGGGGTATACTCCTTCATTGTAAGCATCTTTCACCAGTCTTGTCTTAATTTCCTGAACACAATAATATCCTATGCCTTTTCTTTTCTATTCTTTGTATTCTTCTCCACTTTCTAACAGATGTCTTGGACATAATAGATGCAAATTAATGCTGGTTTAGTCTTAAGACCTTCTTATAGCATCTTGATTAAATACCCGGGCTCTCTAGAGTTGGATTCCAAGTTCAAATCCCAGCTCTATTACTTATTAGTGCTGACCTAGAGCAAGTTGCTTACTTTGTGGAGTTTTCTTCATCTGTAGAGTGAGAGATTGGTCCCCACCTGTTTTGGGTAATGGAGCCCTTTAAGAATCTGATAAAAATGTGACTGCTTTCCAAAAACTCGTAGAGACCTACAGAGACACACGTGTAATGTGGACCCGGCAGGCTCATCGGTGGGCCTCTGGAGTTCACAGGGCTGGTCCTCATCAGTCCTCAGTCCTCCTGTACTCATTTTCCTAGTGTTTTCCTCACCACGGCTAGACACACACTCCCTCCAGCCCAGCACAGTCCCTCTCTCCTCCTCCTGGCCCAGCCTTCCTTTCTCCTTTTTCATTCACTCTTTTCCTAAGCTAAGCTGCTGCCTGCCTAGACTCACACTGTGACATTAGGAAACCAAAGGCAGGCCAAGAAGGTGTAACCTAATTCCATCTGGATTCCAAAGCTTTGCTCAGACCTGGAGTTCCCCCACCAACTGTGTGGGGAGCATCTCTGGCTTTCTGGATGCTTTTTTAAAAAATGTCCAAAGCAGGGAAAGTCCCTTCATTCTCTAGGAATCCTAGTGTGGACTCTAAGAGGAACCTGAGGCAAAGTCATTTCCTTTTGCTGAGCCGCAATTTTCCACATCTGCAATTTGGAGAGGGGCTCCCTGATTGTATCCCTCCTTCTCTGCCCTGTTTACAAGTGTAACTACTTCCCAGGGCAGCCAGTGAGCTGCTATCTCACCCTTCCTCGTTTCCATAGGGCCCTGCTGGGATAGGTGCTCCCTTAGTGCTGCTGGACAGTCTGTAGGAGGCAGCAGTTCGGTGGGACAAGCTGAGACTTCCCAGGCTGCTCAGGGGACTTGCTCGGGTGGAGGCAGGATTTGAACCCATCCGGGCCTCTTTCTGAGACATGCTGCCTTCCCTTTTGGTCCGGCTCTGGTTTGCTCTTTCTATGTCAGTATGTTCTACGCCTCCCTTCCCCTCATCACCGATGTGCTTCTCATCGGGTCGGGAGTACTGGCTGTGACAACTGCTCATGGTTTCACCACATTCGCCCCAGAGTGCAGCGGCAGCTTGCTGCTCCCACCCCCAGGTCTTCCCACCTTCACCACATGGGACAGCGGCTATGCACACCCACTTGTTTTCTGCAGCTGGAGACCACACCCAGGGTGTTTGCTGATGTGCTAACTCACCTCGGGTTCCTGGAGGAGCCCACCACAAGGTGCTGGTGGGTGGTGGGGTGCCCTGGGGGGAGGCTGGGCATCCTGGGGTGAGGCCTGGGGGAGGCATCAGTTCTTCTGAAATTGCCGAGTGACGGATGATTTCAGGTCCTGCTGCTCCTGACAGTGTGGAGTCTGTTAGGATTTCCTCCACATGTTTGTCATTTTGTCCGGAGGACCCCTGTCCTTGTGCATACGCCCAGAGCCTCCCCACCCTGGCTTCTGTTGCCTCCAGCCCCAGGGAGGAGCCTGGTGAAGAGGGCGGATTTGGGGTTGAAATCACACAGACCACTTACCCTCTGTATGTCTTTTGACAAGCCATGGACTATTCTACACCCTGGTTTCTTCTATGGAAATGGGGCAAAGAATACCTAGCTCCTACGACACCTAGG